CATGTAAGCTTAATGTTTAATTAAAAATATTAATATTGAGTTCAAGGATAAAATTCTAACTTTATTTTCAAGTCTAAATACACTAAAGGATTAGAATTTGGGGAGGAAATTTTATTTTAACCAAATTTTAATTTGTGTGCCCAATTTTTTTAATCTGGTGCAGATCGTTGTTTGGCTATGTCGCTGGTGGATTATGCAGCCTCTTCAGATGAAGACGATCCCGAAACCCTTGCTCGCGAAGAAGAAACCGAACAACTGAAAGAAAACTCACAAAAACGACGCAGTTTTGGGGTTACCTCCGCCGAACCCTCATCGGCGGCGCCTCCAAACGAAGACTCAGTTCGCGCACAAAATAGGTTAACTCCCGAATAATTCTTTTCCATGCTGAATTTTTTTAGTTATTTAAAGTTGAATTTATGTGGATTCCAGTCAATTTGTGTTCTAGGGTTGCGGATTTTAATTTCAGAAAATAAAGTATGGTAATTAATCCGAAGTGTCAATTACGTAGTAATGTTATTGTTCTGTTAATTATCGTAATTCAAAATCTGAATTGCTTTTTTTTTTGGGCAACTGGATGTATTGGCCGAAATCGAAAGGAGTCGAAAAGAGAGAATTTTTTGAATTGCAAAAAAAGAAAAAAAAAAATTGTTTTGTTTGTACTTTTAACTGTGCATTAACTATTCGTCGTAAAGTTTGTGAGTACGAAACTCTTGAATCGATGTTGATTGATGAGGTTGTTTACGGTAACTAGGATGCAAAATTCGAGAAAGCAAGTGGTGACGGTTTCTAATCAGCCTTCTGTGATGAAACTTCCGGATGCTTCTTTCCTCTTGAATTCGCCAGCTGTGCCGCCAGCTCATCTACTGAATCCGATGGACCACTCGTCTCGAGTAGCAGCTGCTATGGCGGAAGGTGCGGCACGGAAGAGAGACTTACCATCTGCTAATTACCCTCGTAGGAAAGTTCCGAAAGGGACATTGCCTCACCCGAAGAATGTTCCGGATACTGTGGGCGGTCGTTTGGTGCCACCTCAGCTGGCTGGAAGGTTTGTTTTATCACTTACACACCAAGTTTTAATGATAAATTTACAGTTATTATGTAGTCAATATTTACACGTTTGATCGAGCTAAAGTGTATTACGCTCTATATTTGCAAATTGGTGTTTTAGTGCTGCTAAGAGGAATATGATCGATGAGTAACATTTTCAATATATATAAGAGCTCGTTCGAGTTACGAGATTCAGAGGAAAATTGTATTGTGCATTCGTGTATAAGTTACTGCTTTTTGTTAGTGAACTTCCATTTGGTTGGACGACATGGTTTTTAAGTAAAAAAGGTCGCTTTTAGATTGCCGTTGGATGCTGTCAATTATTCATACGTTAAGTGATACCATTGTTTTAGCTATGTATCTTTTAAATTTATCGTCAACTTTAGTTGCCCGAACATCTTTGGCATCCAATTGATTCCCTAAGAGAAACTTTTTTTCCTTACGATCATCCTCTAGGCAAACTGCAACCGATCGAAAGATGAAATTGCATGCTGTTAAGACTACATATTACGTTTAGCGCACCTTTTTTTGTTGGTTGGCTTATATACGTACGATGTTTTGCAGGAGCAATGTAGTAACTGAAGACATAACGAAGCTCTTTGTGAGAAAGCAGACCAATTCATCGACAGAATAGGCGTACAATTTGCTGATAATCTTGCAAGTAGAATTTAGTAACAAGTTACTCAGATGATCTATTTTACTGTAGGTTCAGGTTCAGGTTGGGTAAAGAAAATTATCGAATACAAGTCCAGTGTTTACGTTTTTCGACTGTGTATTTAGACGTGCAAACTCTGCTGTTTATTATCAGAAAAAATCCGTTGGGATTATTCCAGTGTTTTAGGCAACAAAATCATTTACTTCTAGATTCATCGAGCAGTAATTTAGCTAGTTATCATCCGATTTTCTGAGAAACAAATTGAATACATGAATGTAAATTCAAAGTTTCACATGACATATTTACAACAAAATTTGTTCGATCGTTCTTTCTTTCGTACACAATCTAATTACCGTATAGCAGATGAATACAATATGAACATACACTTAAATCTTCTATACGGCAGCTAAGTACTAAGTATTCCATCGAGACATTTCTGTGAGAAGAGGTTTGAACTGAGAGAGAAACCAATTCCAGACAGAGAAATTGGATCCGTGGAACTTCACACGAACCGATTTTCTAGAACCTTCTTGTCTGAAAAATTCCAAGTCCTTTGTGACGTTGTAATAGGTGTATTCAGGGTTGTCGTCAAGCAAAGGCAGCACAAAACGACCTTCCGATTCCACGTTTTTTAGCCATCCACGAAGAATAAAGTTCACTACCTGGAAATATAAACAGGGAATCAAGCGAAAATACAAGTTAATATGATTAGGGGTGGATAGATATCGTATCGGAGCTCAAAGTTAGTCATTTTTCGAAAAATTCTAATTATTTTCGGAAGTAAAAAACTACTTCCAATTGCGTTCGAAAAAGAAAATTATAAAATCGGAAATCAGATTTTTTTAAATTAGAAGGAAAAAACTTTTAAATCGGAAAATTGTCAATCAAAATTGGCGAAATTTGGAAACTATAGAGTTTTTAATACATAATAATATTGATATTACAAATGCAATTTTTAGAACACGAAAAAAAAAACGAATCTTGGGAATTATTTTTGAAAACTAAATGGATCGGAATCGTAATTTCATATATATTTCAATTTCCATCCAAAAATGTCAGGAAAACGGAAATCTGATTTTTGGAATTTGAAAAGAAATAATTTATTCCAAAAACAATTATTTCCTGATGGAAATAGATACAAAAAAACTAAATATTATCAAAATAATTAGACTCTTCATACCTCGGGAACTTCATCATGAGGGCAGTGACCGGCAGGGCTAATTTCGTAATACGGCACATCCGGCATTTGGTTCTTCACCTGCAAACCGAATATGGGCATCACCCAAGGATCTTCCTTACCATACATCAGACAAATCGGTATATTGTTCATTTGACACCTGCAAATCATAAGTTACATATGCATTATTAGTATTCTTTATTTTGAAACAAGAAACATAAATTTTAGGGGATGTGTGATAAATTCAATTCCGTTTCAGTTTTAATAATACCGCTTCGACTTCAAACGTGATTTTGACCATTTGCGAGACTGAATTGCAAAAAAACTCAAAACACGAAGTTTATGTTTCTTTAAGTTAGCTTTTTAATCCAACTCGAATCACAAAGATTGGATGTCGGGTGAGAAAGATATGCATAAATCAATGAACACTGCCCACAACTCTGATGTAACTCATTCGCGTGTAACTTTTTCACCCAACATCCGATCTAGCTGATTTAAGTTGGATTAGAAAACTAACTCAAAGCACTACAGATTCCGTGTTTTGGATTTTGTCAAAATCGGAATAGAAAAGGTCAAAAATCACGTTAAAAAAAAACGGTATTAGTAAAAAAAAAAAAGAAAACCGGTATCTTAAAATCATATTATTTGTAGCTACCTAGATAAAGCTTCATCAAACGATAATTGTGCTTTAGGAGCAAACATTATTGAAGCCAACGATGCAGCCGCTGCCGGATGTTGTGTTGTTTCGACAATACGAGAAAACACTTCATCCACATCCGTTGAATGATCTGCGTACACTTGCTTGAGTATTTCTGCAATACTTCTTGGATCACTAATTTTCAGCCACCTGAAATGCATAATTAAATTAAATTCGAGGCTTTTTTACTTTATATTTCAGGAATTCGATATATAAAAAAAACTAAAAAGACATCGAAAAAAATTAGTGTAGTAAAAACTTACAAAATTTCCATTAGCTTTCTAATACCAGAAGGAAGAGGAAACGATCCGGACCACGGAAATAGTCTCGATAGTATCGGAGATCTTTCGGGATTAGGGAGAAGTCCCCAAAACGGAGTTGCATTAAGCAAAGTTACACCTTTCACTAATTGAGGATAGCATGCCGCAAAATAGAGCGCCACAAATCCTCCGAGTGAATTTCCGACGAGATAAACGGGTTCTTTAATCACCTACAATACCATCAAACCGTAAATTATTTCCGCAACAAATAATTCCCAACTATTGCGAGCATAAACTTTTAAGGTACTACCTCTTCTACGAAATAGTGCACTTGGTCCTTCCACAAGTCAGCCGAATAAACTAGCTCCTTCGCCCACGTCTCGCTTTCATCTCCAAATCCCCAATGATCATTCTCCCCATCTAACACGTATTCATCGGACCGAAAAGTCGGGTCTTCGTTCGGCAAAGACATACCTTGACCAAGGAAATCCATTGCCCACGTCCTATAATCACGGCCAAGATCTTTCAACTGTTTCTCGTAATGAAACGAGCCCACACCGAATCCCGGAAGAAAAAGAACCGCGGGCGAGTCGACATTTCCAGACCCCGATTTTTCGTAATGCACGTTCAGTTTCGGCCTCCACTCCCAATAGCAGCTGCTTATGGGAGCTGCGCTATCGCCGCCGTTTTTATCGGGCAAGCTAGGAATCGAGACTTTAGGTATCGAACGATTATTACGATCGGTCACACTGGTTGTGCCCACTTGACCATCAAGAACGTTCGAGTTGTAAGCTTCGTTAAGAGAGGAAACGATATTTGGAACTCTGTGGTGGGTGAATCGATTTAACCTTAAACTGTACGGATGGTCAAAATTACTGGTTTTTATGAGAGAAGAAGAAAACCCTTTTCCCCTATTTGAGTGATGTGGATCTGTGAACTTTGTGCCCCTAAAATTTACAGTATAACAGCAGCTTGTAGTATGGCAAGAAATAATTTCCATCCCCACAGCAAATCTCTGAGAGAGAGAGAGAGAGAGAGAGAGAGAGAGAGAGAGAGAGAGAGAGAGTTTCAATTAGCCCAATATATTGCAGATACATGATGATCACACTGCAACAGAATATATATAACACAAATTCATGGATAAAATCAACAGACCCATTATTTTTTATGACAAATCAAGATCATTAAACAAAAACAAGAACTAAAGATTCGAACTTTAAATTACAAATAAAGCTGCGAATCATAGAAAAATAACTCAAAAAAACAAAAAAGAACAATTTTTATCTGTTCTTGTTTACCTCTAAGCAGAAAGCCCAGATGTCATTAGTGAAGTTCCCAGCTTCCAGGAGAAACAAAGTAATTTATAATTGGATTTTGGTAAAGAAAGCCCTATTAGCTTTCTTTAAAAGCCAATTAAGAAAATTTTAGGCAGCATGAGGAACGAACAAAGCAACACAATTGTCGTCTTGTGTTTATTTTCTCTGTCATAATTTGTCTTTTAATGTGAAGGCGTGGAAAAGGTGGAGTGTACGCAATGTTCTTCTCGTGATTAATTTGTGAACATGGTTCGGCCATTGGAAGAATTGGGTAGAGGTGTCGGTTATTCAAGAAAATGATGTAATTTTCCTTGTTTTGACTATATATAATAGTAAAATTCAAGAAAATGTTAAATCATAAATGCCGTTCCAATTTTATTAATACTGTTTTGACTTTGCACATAATTTTGATATATTTCTATTTTAATTTTGGTAAAATTTGAAACACGAAAACTGTAGTCATTTGGGTTAGTTTTCTAATTCAACTTAAATCCGTTAGATTGAATGTCGTGTGACAAAGTTATGCATGAATGAGTCACATTTTGAATTTTAGATACATCAATACATCAAAGTTGTGGGCAGTATCCATTGATTCATGTATATATTTCTCATCAGACATCCAATTTTGGTGATTCAAGTTGGATTAGAAAACTAACTCATAATACTACAAATCCTATATTTTGAGTTTTGCAAATTTGGAATAAAAAATGATCAAAATCACATTTGAAGTCGAAATGATATTATTAAAGCTCGAACGACGTTTATTGAACGACGTTTAAAATTATACATTTTATTTAGATATTTCTTTTTTTATTAACTCAAATGTTCAAGCTTGCCCCGATTAATTTTGGGGAAATTATCGACGAGGTTTTTAGGGCAGCAGCGCCCCCAAATATTTTTAGAAATATTTATAATAAAATACAAAATAACAAATATTTTAAATTTAATTAAAATAACGTAACTTTAAATGTTGGATAAAGTACGGCCACCTCTGAAGTAAAGTCAAATTACGGAGAGAAAAAAAACTCTCCTTGTTATGGTAATTACAACCACCATTTCAACTATGAATCTTCTGACACATCCACTCTTATGCAGTCAGATTCAACATAATCTATTATATTATGTGTAATGTTCTCTAGTTTGTACCCATTTTGTGCAAGAATGCAGTTTCTGATGCAACACAATATGATATTTATAAGGCAAGAGACATATCTTATGATCATCTTGTTTCAAAATAATGAGCACGAATGGGGAAAAACGGGTACAAACCGAAGAACATTCCACATAATTTAGAAGATTCCATTAAATTTAACAACACAAGGGTGCACGTGTAAGAAGATTCATATAGTTAAGGATGATGGTTGAAATTATCCAAACATGATGAGTTTTCGTAACTTGACATTTTCTCATGGGTGGCCGTAATTTGCTCTAGAACGTGATATGTTCCCAACATTTGAATTTTTTTTTTTTTTTAAACCTTAAAACAATGGAAAATAGTGTAATTTGGTAAAGAACAAATTATTTCAACTTCAAGTCAATTTATGTTATATGAACTAACTAGGTCGAATAATTTATCATACGCTCTATCTAAAGATTGTAGCCGGCCATATTAGTCAAATAATATATAGTTGACTAATTTTTTTAGATTGAACGTACAATAGTTTTTTTTTAGATTTTCAGATGTAAACTAAATTGATCGATTAATTTGCCGTGCGCTCTCTCTCTCTCTTAAAAAATTAGTCGACTAGTATTAGTTAACCATAATTAGTCGACTAAATAATTTCAAATCCAGTTAACTTAGCAAAACAACGTAAGCTTATACAACTCAACCAATCATATCAATCCCATCATCAACGTTCTCAAACGAGGCCGAGTAGAATTCTACAATTAACTTTTTAATCAAGAAGATCTTGTTTGAATAGGCCTTGTTTGAAAATGCAGATAAGATTCGATAGACATTTAACAAAGACCCGGGGGGTCTAAGTTTTGTAGTCCATGATTAAAATTCGAGTTTGTGATTTAATCGAACATGTGAATGATAACGATTCAAACCTAAATCCTTATTTCTGAAAAATATACTATGAAGAATATTATACAATACAAAGATTGTATAATCCCATATTAAAGGAATTATTTAATCAAATCCAAGATAATATTATATCAACATTCCCAAAGGTGGTTACAACACACATATCTTTAGCCAACAAAAACTAATTCAAGTATATTTTCCTTACACCCTTGTACAATTGAAACATTCAATTATCTGGGGCTGGGATTGGGTTGATTTTTATCCACCAACCGATCCAGTACCGACCATATTTTTAGGCGGATAATCAATTTTTAAGCGACCCATTGGATCGGGTCGAAAATTTTAACCAACCCATCTATAATGGGTCGGTTGGTGGTTTCTAATATTATCAAAAGTTGGTTGACCGATAATTATCGGTTATCCAACTATACTATTAAAATTTTATTAAAAAATAAAATAAATGCCGTGTTTTCTTAAGTGGTTATTGAAATTATCAAAATAATTAGTATTCTAAATTTTAAAACAATCAACAAACGAAAAAAAAATTTGACCTAAATCTTCAACCATTTTCTTTATGCCCAAGTTTAAACAAAACGCCCACAAAACTTCACTGAATCTCTTGTGCATGTTGAAATTACTTTGAATTTCTTCATTATATTTTTTCGTTAAATTGTTATTAATTATTTTGAACTAATAAATGATGATCGCACCGTGGCATTACGCAAAATTTGGATATTTTTACTCCAAAATTTGATTTTTTTTTAAGTGAACTAGGTGGCGGGTATAAACCATCAACCGAACCATTCCGCAACCAAATATTCGGTTGCCAAACATCAACCGACCCTCAAAAGTTGGGTCGGCAACGATTTTCAAACTTGAGCAAAAATGGTTTGACGGATGGGTCGGGTTTTAGGCTAGTAATCGACCGACCCAACCCAGTCCCAGCCCTAATTACCATTGAATATTTTTGAGTTAAATACAAATTGCACCTCTTTACTATTACTATTTTTGCATATAACCTGCTGTTACTACAAAATGCGACACAGTGCCCCCTCAACTTAACGGTGAACCCTCAAATGTCTAACACCATTAACTTATGTAGCATAGTTACCTTTTTACCTTTACATTTATATGATAGTCATTTTTTGACTTTATTACTTGACAATTTTTCTTTATTACATAGCACTCCGGTTTCATTAACAAGTGGTTCTAGAAATATATGCCATGTTTATTTGGACATAATAAAAATGAAATGCATGAATTTTGAGAATTATTACTACATGAACAAAATATGTCATAAATTTTGGACATAACCATGAATTTTTAAAACTATTATCAAAATAAAAGAAATTTACTGCTTTTGGGTGAATTTTTTAGACTCAGAACAAAATTGTAAATTTTCATAAATATAAAAGAAAATTATAAATAATTTTCAGAACATAAATATTTTTTTTCAAAAAAAAATGGGTGAAATGTTAAGGTTGTGGAAATTAAAATTATGAAAGAGACATGAAGAAAAAAAGGAGTAAATTGTCCACCTTTAATACACAAGAGAGAAAAAAAGAGGCACACATTTTATACACAACCATAAGAAGTGTTTTCGTATGAAATTGTCCAATATCTGAGCCATGATAAGCTCAAATTCGGCTCATAATTTAACCGGGTTTAATAAAGAGGCTCAAACTTGGCCAGACTCACAGTTTATCGAGCTCGGCTCAATAAAATCGGGCCGAGTCATCGAGCTTCGTGTAGGCCTGACTCAATTGGCGGTCCTATCACCTATGTGTATGTGTATGTGTATGTGTGCTTAGTGGAAAATTATTTCACTACATCAATGATTAATAATTACCCGATGTATTTCATCACGTGTAGCATCTCAAAGAACTTTTATCAATTATACCATTTCTATTTTTTGTTATATTAAATTTTCTTCAATAGAAAAAAAAAATTCTTCAATTTTCAAATGAAGTAAAAATCTTTATATTTTAATTTCTATAATATTGTTTTTTATTTATACGCGTTAAATAATTATAATACAATGTACCTATATATAGTTTTTTTTTTTTTGTGATGCAGTGCATTTGATAATTATTATTAAATATATTAGTTAATTTCGAATATGATTTTTAATGTGGTTAAAAATTTAAATAATTAAAGGAGTGTCAATATTATATAATTTATATTATATTTGATATTGAAAAAAAAAAGAGTATTGGAAAGGCCAAAAATAAATTTGAAATCGAGACAAATAACACGTGTGTTCCACCAATCGTGTTCCACCAATTAGGGCCTTAGAGCCACCCCTTACCAAATGTAATTTAATTCTTATTAATAAGAAAAAAAAGGAAAATATCATTATTAGAAATTCTCAAAACCAAAAAAAGGATAAATAAATAAATAAATAAAGCCCTAGTACGTGGAACTCATGTAGGGGCAATTTCGTCTTTCCGCAATCATAATAATTTACCGGAGAAATCACAATTATTGAATTCCCATTGTGCCCCCAGCCTGGTATGAAAATCACACTCGGTTCTCTCTTAAAATCGATAAACTGTAACTGTAAGAGAGAGAGTGGTAAATGAAAACCTAAATTAACATAAAACGAAAATTAAAGAAACCCCTAGAGAGAGAAAACTCTCACTCTCCTTCTCTCTTCTCTCTCGATCTACTTCCCAATTATCTCTCAAGCGCAGATCTAAATTCTCCTACTGATATATGTAAAATCTCCCTTTCCTGAATTCAGTTTTTATCCAGATTGAGAGATTCGTAGGTTTTTGTGATGGCGGGTTATATAAAGGGGGTGAACAGATCGGCCACGACGGCGTTCTCGCCGGATGGCGCGTACATCGCCGCGGGGACGATGGCGGGGGCGGTGGATCTGCAATTCAGCTCCTCCGCCAGTCTCGATATATTCGAGCTTGATTTCGTCTCCGACGATCGGCAGCTGATCCTTGCGGGCACTGTTCCGACATCCGAGCGATTCAATCGGCTCTCGTGGGAGAAGGGTCCGGCGAATTCTGAGGAGTATTCTCTTGGTCTCATTGCCGGTGGCCTTGTTGATGGCAACATTGGGCTTTGGAATCCGAAGAACCTGATCTGGTGAATTTTTAGTTTTTTGGAATTATTTTTTGTTGCCAATTGCAATTTGTTTTGGATGATTGGATGATTTATGTTTCCGTGTTTTGATTATGGCTGCGTTTCGATGATTATGTGTTTGTGTTATTTGGATTAGTTAGGATTTGGTGATGATTAATATCACAGAGTTTGTGATTGCTTAATTTAAATGAAAATAGAATTGTGTATATGAAAACAATAGGTTGGGTTTCGATTTTTGATTGCTTCTTTCATCAATATGTATTTATTTCCTCCAAACAATGAATAGGAAAAAAACCTTGATTTTAGTTTGTTGTAGGCTATGGCAATTAGACAAAGTACCAGGAAAGATCACTAGGCTTTATTTTCAGTTTGAGTTAAAAAAGAAGTAATATTAGTTCTGATTTTACATTGGTCAGTTGAGGTAGCTTAATGAACTAATTTTTTTAAGTCACGAAAACGGCCAATTTAGGCTAATTCATACCACTGTGATGTGGTTCCTGATGGACTCCAAAACCAATTCTGATTTGAACTTTACCTCATAAAGAACATTTAATTACTAAGAAAATTATCCCATACATAAACAATGTTTGTATTTATGAAAAAAATGTACTTGCTTTCTGGATAAATTTGAAAGGAACTTAATATAGCAAAATCCCTGTATGCTGAAATAAATGATTAGGGATTCTCATATTCATTTAATTAATTTTGACTTTCACACTAATGGGACTTGAGGGAAACATACTCATACCCTCAGGAAGATAGAGTGCTAATGAACAAGTATATATACACAAAAAAGGTTCCATACTGTCAAAATAGAACAATTACAATATATAATTAATGATGTTTATTCGTTTTTTAATTGTTTTTCCTTTATCAATTGTATCTTCCAAGTTATTATTTAGCAAGTCTGCTATAGAACAGGTAGTTAAATTCTTCATTGTCAAAATAATAGTTGCAAGGATTTTGGTATGTAAAAAACATGGTTTGTGGTCTTTTGGGTTTTATGTTCTGTGGAATCTTAGTAATATTGATTAGCTTCATTGTTTGCCTGTTTTTGCATACATTTCTGTTGATCTCCCTAATTGGTGCTTAAGGCAATATGGTTCATCTGGTTTCCCTCATGTTTTGAATGTCCATTGAACCTTATTAGTGGAGGAAGAAACTGGCAATTTTTCATGAAAAATATGGGATTTAATTGGAAACATTCTAGATAAGAATTTGAGAGTGCTTGTAGAAGCAATTACTACTGATTATGAAGAAAACCTGACAATTTTTTTTTTGGGTAAAGATGAACTCTTTACAAACTTTGGTTTTTTTTTTTTTACAATTGAAGATGCTTTCAGTTCAATATAGATAAATTATCCGATTACTAATTTTCTGTGATAATTGACTTGTGAGAGTTTTATACTTAACTGTCAATATTATTTTTTGTTGAATTTGTCTTCTGGATTAAAAAACAAATATTATTTAAACCAATAATCAGTATCTTTGTTTGATATGCAATCCTCATTTTCATCCAATAATTCTAGCATTCCGTTGCTGCTGCTCTTAATTTTCCTTGATACATATATTGTTTGTTTGTTTATTTATTTATTTATATCTCGCTTGCAGTTCCGACGGCGTTAACAAGGGTTCTGATACAAGTGAGAATGCTTTTGTCACGAATCTTTCAAGGCACAAAGGACCTGTAAGCTTCTGCTCTCTTTAGCCTGTGTTGTTTATGCATTGTTTTATCATTTTATTTAATCATGTGGATGATGAGATGGTGGGTCAATTTGATTTTTTTTTATTTGGTTTAGGTACGTGGTTTGGAGTTTAACTCTCTTTCGCCAAATCTTCTTGCTTCTGGCGCCGATGAAGGTGATATTTGTATATGGGATATAACAAAACCATCAGAGCCGAGTCATTTTCCTCCACTCAAGGTTTGATTTTTTATTACCTCTAGCACCATTTTTATGCTTTTAAATCTAATCAGTAGAATTTAAAAAAAACCCAAATAATTAGGAAAAATCAAGCAAGAAAGTTTTTCTAGTTTCCAAATACTATTATGTATTATCAGACATGAAATGTATGACTGGTGTGTAGAGGGAGAGACACTGTATGATATTATTTTATTCCACTTGTTTCAGTATACTATTTGTTAAACTTAAATGCACAAGACTGTATGTGTGTGAGGGAGGGCGGAGGCTGTGTGTCTGCATGTGCCCTCGGTTGATTTTAGGGACATGAAAAGATATAGATGGAAGGAAAAATATCGAGAGCAAAAATTGATGGATAGGGAAAGAGCTTGCTGAAATTGAAGGAAATGTGTTATCAGAGTAGCAGCTTAGTTCCTTTGCCAGTTTTATCTTGTGACAAGCATACTTCGTGCATTGTGGAATACTTCTAGCATTGCATTTCAAACAGCGATTCGTCACATTCTTAGTTTTACAAACCCCTCAAAATTGTTTTACTTATGATTCACCGCTGTTTTATTTGCACTTGCAAAGTATGTGACATATTCATTTTCCTCTCTTAATGGATAATTTTGCCTATAGATCTCTGTTGGTCTCTCTCTTACTCTTGGATTACAGTGCCTTCAAAGTTTTCACACATATTTTGTTATCGCTACCAAGATATACTGAAGCTCAAACTGTTTAAACTGTTTCACAGGGCAGTGGATCTGCAACACAAGGTGAAATTTCATTCTTGTCCTGGAATAGCAAGGTTCAGCACATACTGGCCTCCACTTCATTTAATGGGACAACTGGTAAGAAAGATAATGTTTAATGAGATTTCATGCACTTACATTTTACATTTTGCATTGAAATATAGTCCTTCTCTGTAATTTCAGTTGTGTGGGATCTGAAGAAGCAAAAGCCAGTTATAAGGTAAATTGTCTGCCATTAATGTGAAGTTGGGTTATTGCACTTCAACCATTGACTGCGGAGATTTGGTTCTTCCCCTATTCTGATCCCTAATGTGCCTCCTTCGCAGTTTCTCAGATTCAATCAGAAGGAGGTGTTCTGTTTTACAGTGGAATCCAGATGTTGCTACTCAGCTCATTGTTGCTTCAGATGAAGATAGTTCACCTTCTCTCAGGGTAAAAGAATACAAACTCCTATTTAACTTCTTGGTTGAAATTTGTCCAAGATCTGCTTTTGTTTATGATCTTTGTAATTGCACTGCATTCTTCTTCAGCTGTGGGATATGCGGAATACAATGACTCCAGTAAAAGAGTTTGCTGGGCACAGCAAAGGTATGTTATGTCTAAGGGGTTCACTTCTAATATTTCATAAACTTTTTGTCCCAAATTGATTTTTAATATGTTTCTAGTTGATTTCTCTTCTCTGGTTTATGAAGTAGATTGTGTCATAATATATCATGGTTTAGAAAACAATGTGTAAATGTTCGTGTGTACGCTACCATCTAGTAAGTTCTGCCAAATATATTGCCTCAATGGTAAAGGATCACCAAATGGTTGCTTCTTCAAATTTAAAGGAAAACTTTCAGTGAACTTCAGCATAGCCATCCCTATGGGATTGCTGCTTGATTTAATTTAGGGAAAACTTGTAGGCGTCAGATTGCAACTTATTTGATTTATGTGCTCTATGCTATGGAAGTTGGTCATATCAAAGAGATAGGTTCAGGTTTCCAATAAGTTGAGGCTAAATGATATCTGCTGAATTGATAAACAATTTTTTGTTCATCTGCCCCCCGAAATGGGGAATGGCTCGGGGACTGTTAATGCCAGTAAATGATTCTGATCATTTGAGATTGCTGTAAGCCTGTAACAAATCTATTTCGTAATGCATTTCTAGAAACTGATTAAACATTATTTTATTCTGGAGTGTTAGAAAACCAGCCTTCACTTCACTTTTTTTATGAGTACACTAGTCTGTACTGGTCTAGGGAGTAGTAGTTATTCCTGTTATCGGCTCTCGCTCTACCTACCGTCGAATATTCATTTCCTTCCATACTTCTGACAAGTGATGGGATGAGATTTTTTTACCTTTCAGAATGTCAACCCTTTTGTCCCTATTATGCTGATTTAGTTATTTTGAAGTGTTAAAAAAACGCCTTTAATATTCTGATACTATGCTTTTGATTTATTAGTAATATCATGTACATGTTGGGATTTCATTAGTTTGTATGACTGACTGCATCAGGTGTGATTGCTATGTCATGGTGCCCTATTGACAGTTCTTATCTGCTTACTTGCGCCAAAGATAACCGCACTATTTGCTGGGACACAGTATCTGGGGAGGTAAATATTTTGATTCTTATAATTCCCCTGAACTGATTGTGTTATCATTTCCATTCCGCAGAAGGTTTCCTTTTCAGATTCTTTGATTCTGAGCATTTGGACACGCTTGATAGTTATATGTTCTTTTGTAGATTGTGGCCGAACTACCTGCTGGAACCAACTGGAATTTCGATGTACACTGGTACTCTAAGATTCCTGGAGTCATATCAGCATCTTCATTTGATGGGAAAGTTGGCATCTATAATATAGAGGTTATTTCCTATTCGCATGCCACACTATTAGTGCTTCTTCGTTGTTGATTCTTGTGATTAATGGTGCAGTAAACGACAATTCTTGACATGGACCATTCATCAATCTCCACATTTTCGTAAACTTGTGTAGCTTCACTAATTAATATTGCAACTAATACCTATTACTTGTTCTATTTACTTTCTCCTAATGTATTACGACTACACACGTTTTTTGGGGTTAGCTGAAGTTTGAGCTTTTTGGAGTTCTTTGACTTGCTGAAGATGGATGGACATTTTTCTTTAGAGGCACATACTGAGACAAATCTGACTATAAACGTAACTCAATTTTGCTAATGTTTGGAATAAATGCAGTTATAATTGGTTGCAATTCAAAATACGAAATATTTGGTGTTCTTGTTGTTTTTTTAGCTTGCTTAATAACCCTTTTTAACAACTGCGGGCCTGGGTTTCTTTATAGTGACTTTCTCTCTCTTTAAATGCAGGGTTCTGGTAGATATGGCGTTGGAGAGGGTGATTTTGGAGCAGGTATCATAATGTGTTTTAGATGGTAAAATGTTTGTTGTGTACCAATCTCTTGGCCCGACATGGAGCTGAATTAACAGTTCTGGCAATAATCTCTCTGCATGTTGTAGCTACAATTTGCTTGAGTGGAATTTTATATTTTAAGGGTGATATTCTTGGCTTTTTATGGCTTTGATTGTTTGAGTGGGATTGTAATAAGAGTGATTTGGGTGGCTCTTTTTGGCTTCTACTGCTGCTGCCAGTCAAGCATATGATGAGTATCATTTGGTTCTTCTATTGAACAAGTTCTAGGTAGAGGACTCAAAATAATGCCGGTAGATGTTGCAGGATACAGTTTTTCTCTTGATTTAATTTATAGAGGAGGTTGAATTGTCTGATAGGGAAAGGAAGTAAATTAACGTTTTTCCTTTAACTTGTATTAATTTGGGGTTTCAGTTGGTCTTATGTGCCATGTTTTCTGTAGCACCTTTGAGGGCCCCAAAGTGGTACAAGCGAAAAGCTGGAGTTTCATTTGGTTTTGGAGGCAAGCTTGTTTCATTTAACGCTACTGAATCTCCAGCTGGATCTTCCGAGGTACACGAGAGAGTTCTACACTGTTGTTTTCTCCTGACATATTGTACACATTGTGACTGTTTTTCCTACTTCCAGGTTTATGTGCACAATTTAGTTACTGAACAGGGTTTGATGAGTCGATCTTCTGAATTTGAAGCCGCAATACAAAATGGGGATAGATCAGCACTGAGACTTCTGTGCGAAAAGAAATCTCAAGAAGAGTATGTGGTCCAAACCTGGTGTTATTTAATGATTAGATTACTATGGCATCCATAATTATCTCCAGACTTATCTTTAATCATTATTTGATGGTCAGATCTGAGGATGAGAGAGAAACATGGGGCTTCATGAAGGTTATGTTCAACGAGGAAGGGACTGCAAGGTCGAAGCTGCTTTCGCATCTTGGTTTCAGTCTGCCTATTGAAGAAAGTGATGCTTCACAGAATGATGTATCTGAGAAGGTGAATGCTCTTGGTCTTGATGAGAGTTCAACTGCTACGGATATTTCTGGGAAAAAGGAATCCACCTTATTTGCAACTGACAATGGGGAAGATTTCTTCAACAATCTTCCAAGTCCCAAGGCGGATACACCTTTGGCCAATTCAAAGAATGATTTTGTCGTTGAAGAATCTGTAAAGGAATCTCAACAAGGAATTGACGGACAAGAGGAGAGTTCTGATCCTTCATTTGATGATGCTGTTCAACGTGCTTTGGTTGTTGGAGACTACAAGGGGGCAGTTGCACAATGCATTTCTGCAAATAGATTGGCAGATGCTTTGGTCATTGCTCATGTTGGTGGTACTTCGTTGTGGGAGAAAACACGTGATCAGTACCTCAAGACAAGTCGTTCTCCATATCTAAAGGTGGTGAAACATCTCCGGTTTCTGAATATGAGCACATTTATCATTGCTGATTGTTTCTACTGGTTTCTTTTGTTTCTTGTTGCTGCAGGTTGTCTCTGCCATGGTAAACAATGACCTGATTAGCTTAGCGAACACCAGACCTCTAAAGTCATGGAAGGAGACACTTGCTCTCTTTTGTACTGTAAGTCTCTCCCCCCCTGAAGAATCACATTGGATTATAATGCTTCAAAAGGTGGTCACGTCCAGTGTAAAATTGGGATCATTCTGTAGTTTGTAAATCTTTCAAGACTTGAGACCCTATACTTATTGACTGGCTTGTTACTCGGAATAAGATCAGACAGGCTGGCACCTTGCCTGTAAAAGAAGATCTATTTGCAACCTAAGGCATTAGTAAACGATATTTGTTTCAAAATTAAGGGTCGTTTCTGTAAGATTATGCTTTGGGACTTCATTCTTCCCTTGCATTCATGTTTGATAAAATCACTCTATCTAGTGGTACTGTCATTAAGAGAGTATGTATGACTGTCTGTGCGTTATTTCTCATTGGAGCATATTTGAAGAACTATCCTGCCCTTTATTTTGTTTTTTTTTGTACTAGCACCGAAGGCATCTTCCTATATCTAAATTATATCTAAATTTTGTTTGCTATCACCAGTTTGCACAGACAGATGAGTGGACTCTACTATGTGACACTCTTGCTGCTAGACTCATGGCTGCTGGTGATACAACTTCTGCTACACTGTGTTATATATGTGCTGGAAATATTGACAAAACTGTGGAAATCTGGTCGAAGAATCTGTCAGCCGAGCATGATGGAAAGCCCTATGTAGACCGTCTCCAGGTTTGTATCAATTGCCTAAATGTTATCAGGTAGTGGTTTTTGTTATGGACTTATATGTATTTTTTCTATTCTAAAGGATCTAATGGAGAAGACTATCGTCTTTGCTTTCGCTACTGGACAGAAGCGATTTAGCGCTTCATTATGTAAACTTGTTGAGAAATATGCTGAAATATTAGCAAGTCAAGGTCTTCTAACTACAGCGATGGAGTACTTGAATCTTCTCGGAACTGAAGAATTGTCCACTGAACTTGTTATATTACGTGATCGTATTGCTCGTTCCACTATTCAAGGTGTGTCTTTATGAGATTTCGTTTGATATATTATTCTCCATAAAAAATCCAGCTGAAAATTATCTCGTGTGTCTGGTTTTGTATTAATGCATTCGTTACAGTAATCTACATGATAAATCTAACCTTCTATGCCTAAGCTTTATGTTCACAAATTTGGTTTGTTTATACATTTGCAGAGAAAGAGATTGAGAAGCCTGTGACTTACGAGAATAGTCAATTACAAACCGGACCTGCATACAATGATCAATCGAGTTATGGTGTTGCTGATGCCTCTCAACGTTATTATCCGGTATTTGTTTCTAGCTTCTCAGCCCTTATTTTATTTTCTTGGGCTGATTTCCGATTAGTGCTTAAAAGATACCGTTCTCTTCTTTATCTTTCTCAGGAGACTGCTCCATCCCAGATGCAACCAAGTATCCCAAGCAGTCCATATGGTGAAAATTATCAGCAGCCACCCGCCGCTCCATTTGGAAGGGGTTATAATCAGCCTCCCGCATATCAGCAAGTTCCGCAGCCTAATATACCACAGCCTGGCATGTTTATCCCTTCTCCTGCTGCCCCTGTTCAAGCGGTAATAATCCCTTTTGGTTCAGTTGTTTATTAAGTTGGTCTATAAAGTTGTTTTGACTATTGTGGCAATATTATAATCTGGATAATGATGACACGTGTTTCAACTTGCAGGGCAACTTCCCTCCACCCCCTGTTAATACTCAGCCTCCTGCCAAATTTGTTCCATCAAATCCTCCTATTTTGAGAAACGTGGAGCAATATCAGCAGCCATCGACTTTAGGTTCCCAGCTATATCCAGTATGCTGCTGCTACCCACCTTTCACTTAAATTATTCTTGTTAATTTAACCACAATGCTGAGTTTTGGTTTATATCCATTATCCAGGGAACTGCTAACCCTAGTTATCAAGCTGGTCCACCGGGAATTCCTGCCTATGGTGTTAACACATCTCAAGTTGGGCCAACGGTTGGGCAACAAATGCCCCATGTATTGGCTCCTACACCAGCACCTAGAGGATTCATGCCAGTGAATAATGCAGGGGTTCAAAGACCTGGGATGAACCCAGTGCAACCTCCTAGTCCTACTCAGCCTGCTCCAGTGCAGGCTGCAGTTGCCCCTGCCGCTCCTCCACCTACTGTGCAGACTGTTGATACTTCGAATGTACCTGGTAAACTATTTTTTCTCTTCCCTGTGTTGGATTTCTGTGATTGCGTGATTTTTTTTTTATTGTTATTATTATCTTATGAAGCGGTTGCCTTGAACGATGTTAAAGTTGGATTGGAATATGATCTCTTAATTGGTCTGTTTGTTTTCTGATTGTGGGGAGTGTATGCTACTTGGTACAACTTTATTTTGGTGTCGTAGCCAATGATATACCATCAGTGCATGAATTATAAAAAATCAATCATGTATTTTTAGGACAAATGTAAAAAAAATAATTTTTTGAGGACTGAGATAAATTAACAAGAAGAGATGGGTGCAATCTCCCAGTATAATGTTTAGGTTTGCAACCTCTGCTTCCTTTGTATGTGACGTAGGATAGAGGAATTGCAATTATCTTTATGATTCTTGAAGTTTAATTTATTTATTCTCTGAAGATTCCACTCATTTAGTCACCTTACATTATGTTTTAAATCTGGTACAGCTCATCAGAGGCCTGTTATTGCAACTTTAACAAGACTTTTTAACGAGACATCCGAAGCATTGGGAGGGGCACGAGCAAATCCAGCTAAGAAGCGGGAAATAGAGGACAACTCAAAAAAGTTAGGGGCCTTGTTTGCAAAACTCAACAGTGGAGACATATCTAAAAATGCTGCAGAAAAGCTTGTTCAACTCTGTCAGGCATTGGACGGGGGTGATTTTGCCACAGCCCTTCAAATCCAGGTACAGGAGAAATTGTCCTACGATAATACTTATCCGTTTTTTTTAGTCTATATGTGCTTGATCAATTACAAACTACGCTTTTTTGCATTTTTTTGTGTTGTATGTATAGGTGCTTCTGACAACAAGTGATTGGGATGAATGCAACTTCTGGTTAGCAACACTTAAAAGAATGATCAAGACAAGACAGAACTTCAGATGAACGATCTATCAATCAACTCTTCTTGCAGAACTTGTGATTTAGGTTCATTTGTAGTTTTGGAATCGTGTTCGAATGACTTCGGTATTTAAGAATTTATGTTGTTGGATAGCATGCGGGTTTTCCGTTTTTTTTAACTTTTATTTTACTCATCTGACCTGTTAAATCTTTTTTTTTTTTGGCTTTAATTTCGTTGGGATTCTTTGAGAACAGTCGAAAGTAAAGATAGTTCTGAAGGACTATGATAGTTATTGCAACTGTGCTTCACATAATATATTTAGTTTTGAGATATAGATACATTTTGAGTCTAGACTGTTGTAATTTGTCACAAAGTCTTGCATATGTTTTTATGAAGCCATTGGATTGTACTTTAATCCTTTTATTAGCATAAAACAATGTTGTTTTCTTTGTTAATAATTCAATTTCTTACTAAATTCTTACTTACATTGGTGCCATTTTTTTCAAAAAAAATTAAAAAAAGATTTTTCGAAAATAAAAAATTATTATTTTTGAAAAACTTTTTTTTATACAGAAAAGAAAAAAAAACATTTATTTATTTAATATTTTTGAAAATAAAAAAATGAAAAAATATAATATTTTTTTTTGAGAATGGAAAAATATAATATTGAAAAGAAGAAAAAAACTATTTACAATAATAAAGGGTAGTTTGGTCATTTTGAGTAATTGGGTTGTTGTTGAGAAAATTGTACATCAAATACTATTCAATATTAAGATAAGAAATTCAAAAAAATGATAACAAACGACGCCTTGTTTGGTTGCCAAGATAAGATATTACGCAAGGTAAAATTAAATAGTCTAATGATAATGATCACTAACTGTAAATGCTGCGTATATTAATAAAATTATAGATTGACCCCCTATTATTTAATATAGATATTTGCATTTTAATTTAATAAATGATTACTCGTTGAAGAAAAACTTTCTATTTTTTATAATTCTAACGACTACTAGAAATTGCACACCCTATAACATAGTCGCACACCACTATACTCTTATGATTAGAATATAAGTGAGGGCCATCTTAATTATCATATGGCCTAAAGCAAGTAAAAAGTGATATAAAGTTAAATTATATTTATATAAAAATCTCGTTTTTAATTTTTAGCATTCAATTTTAATTAAATATTACCCACGATGATATGATAAAATAATATAACTTTTTGTTACCTACATTTCACTTAGATTAGAATATCATAGCTATATTGTTAAAATACTAAAATATTGTTACAAAATTTTGTATAGTTATGAGGTCCATTAAATTTAGGGTCGGGTACTCGAAAAGTCAATTTTCATACACACTTACCCAAAATAATAGAGTACCCGACCCGCTAATAGGTGCCTGAATAAATCGGACCGATGTCGTATTAGAGTGTAGCCGTGTAGTTATCACAAAATGGTGTCTCTACGATGTTACTGCTTCGTTCCATAATATCTTACTTTTGAGAAAAAGAATATTGTTCGATATTATAATTTATTTTAAATTTCAAATACTCATCAATTACTTAATTTGCATTTATACTTTATACCCTTATTAGCTTTTCTCAATACTCTGTTTTGTAAACTCATTTCTCTTAATTAGAAGACAATGTCATTTTAGTCTAAAAACATATTTTTCCCAAAATCAAGACACGTCTGATGAAATTCTTAATTCTTGTGCAAAGCTAAAAAAATGACAGTTAAATTAAGGGTGAAAATCGGACGGAATGAATCGGAAATGATTTTTTCGGAAGTAAAAATTGGGTTCCAATTTCTGTTCCAAAAAAACTAGAATGTTAAAATTCTTTTCGATTTCGGAATGCCTTGGAATCAACAGAATTTTGAAAATTTTGAAAATAACATTAGTTTATAATCTCTTTCCAAATTCAGATATAATGAAATTTTTCACAATATTTTTTCTTTTTCGAAATTTTGCAGGAAAATTCAATAGAAAGTTCGACAAAATACAATAAATAAAAACAGTTTTTTTTTTATAAATAAAAATGCAACATAAAGTTTCTGATTTATAAGGTTTTAATTTACTTAGCCCTTCGTTATATATATTTTTCATATAAAATATAACATAGGTTATATTCTTGAATTACAAAACATATCATAAATTATATTTATAGGGTAAATTACAACCACTCTTTGATGTATGGTCAAATTACAAAAATCCCCCTCTTGTTGGGTAATTACAACCATCCCTCTACTATAAAACTTTTTACATGTCCACCGTTGCGTTTTCAAATTTAGTGGATTCTTCAAGATTATATGAAATATTATCACTTTTGCACCCATTCTATCTCATTGGAACTCTACATTTTGAAGCAAGATGATCGTAATATGTGTTTTTTGACTTGTATATATCAGATTGTGGTGCATCAGAAAGTGTATTTTTCAAAACGAGTACAAACTAGAGCACATTGCACGAAATCTAGATGATTATGTTGAATTTGACACCATAAGGGTGGAGATGTAAGAAAAAATCATAGTTGAAGGGGTAGATGTAATTATCCAAACAAGAGAGGGTTTTTCGTAAATTGACCATACCTCAGGGATGGTTATAATTTACCCATATTTATATAATATATATATTTAGGAAAACCATAGAAATATCCAATACTAAAATCGGATAGGAAATTGAAATTTCCGATAATTTTATAAACCATCCCGATTCCGTTCTAAATAAATTCAAAAAATCGAAATGTAAATTTGAATAATATCATCATATTCGAATTGACAGAATTCAAAAATTCTATTCAATTTTCACCCTAATTAAAACAAGATGGGAGTGCCAATTCCGATTTTCGGCTGCAGTTAAAATGGAATGGAGGAAGTACTTCAAGAAAAAAGAAGATAAGAGAAATGAACACAAAACAAACGAATTTTCCTTCCATCGTCGAAGAAGACAAGTAGAGAGCATTTATTACAAATTATTAACAAACCACCAAATCTTGCAAACAATGGCGATCCTGTTTTAATTACTACACTACATACAAACCCTCGCTTCCTTCCATACAAAATCTTCGGATTCCATTTTCAGTATTGGTGGTTAGTCAACTCTCACCCCTTTCTCTCTCTTCCCTTTCTCTCTCTCACACACACACACACACAACCACCAAGAAAACCAGCTTCTTCAATTTCAGATTCAATTCCCAAATCACACATCTCAAAAAACAAAAAAAAAGTAATCTTTTTGATGGGTTATCTCTCGTGTAATGCAGAATCATCGGTTTCGATTTCCGATTCCAACCACCCATCTTCTTCCTCTAAATCACCACCACCCCACCACCGTCGCCACCACCGCCGCCACCACAACTCCGACAAGGGGGAAGAGAAGAACCCAATTAAAATCAAGGAATTCAACTACAAAGATCTCGAATTAGCCACCAACAACTTCTCCGACTCGAAGCTCCTCGGCCGCGGCAGCCACGGCCTCGTCTACAAAGGCGTCCTCCGCGGCGGCCGCCGCGTCGCCGTCAAGAAATCCTCCAGAGCCGCCCACAAAACCCCCATTTCCGACAACCCTAACGAGGTCGAGAACGAAATCGACATCCTGTCCAAACTCCACAGCCCCGGGTTGGTCAACCTCGTCGGCTTCACCAAAATCGGCTCCAAAGATCGGCTCTTGGTCGTCGAATTCATGAGCAACGGCACTCTCTACGATATTCTCCATTCCAATTCCAATTCCAATTCCAATTCGCGGCCATTGAATTGGGGGAGAAGGATTAAATTGGCTCTTCAAACCGCCAAAGCAGTCGACACCCTCCATTCTTTAACACCACCTGTGATCCACCGCGATATTAAATCCGCGAATATCTTGATCGATCGAAACTTCAATGCTCGATTGGGCGATTTCGGGCTTGCTCTGCGGTGCGTCGATGATTATAAGCTGAGATCGACTCCTCCCGCGGGTACAATGGGTTATCTAGATCCATGTTATGTCACCCCCGATAATCTGAGCACGAAAACCGACGTGTTCAGTTTCGGGATTTTGCTCTTGGAGATAATTAGCGGGAGGAAGGCAATCGACATGGGGAATTCGCCCCCTTCGATTGTGGATTGGGCTATCCCGTTGATAAGGAGAGGGAAGTTGTTGTCTATTTTCGATCCTAGGGTTCCGCCGCCTAAGGATGCTACGGTGAGGAAGATGCTGGCGGTGGTGGCGGCGAAGTGCGTGAGGTCTTGTAGAGAGAGGCGATTGTCGATGAAGGAGGTGGTCGAGTGCTTGAGCGAGTTGAGTCGATTGGTCCCGTTGCATTCTTGGAACGGTTTGGCTAATCCTTGTATGATGGTTGAGAATGTGGGGAGACCCGTCGTTCAATCAAGAAGCGAATCGAAGAAGACGGGGAATCTTGATGAAGGAGATGCTAGAGTGACGAGGGCGTTGAGGAAAAACGGGAGAGTGTATTCGGATTTAGGGTTTCGGAGCAATCTGATGGAGTTGATGGCTAGTCCTGATTGCGAGTCTCGATTCGGTGGTGAGGGTGATGATGTGCTGGAAAATAAAGTCGAATCGGGGAAAAAGGGATCGAGTTTGAGATTCGAGATCGGTAGGTTAGCCGAGAGGAATAGTGTTCGGTCAATGGTTCTTGATTGACGGTTCTTGAAATTTGAAATACACCATGGCTAGATAACTCGATGATCGGGTTTCGTTACACCAGCATAGAATGTGTAATTGCAATTCTTTTAAAGTATTTCTTGTTTATTTAAGACGAGCAAAAAGATCGTAGATTGCGGGGCGCAACTCGGTGCGCTAATCGAGCATGTTGTTTTATTGTTTTCAAGCAAATGAACTGCATTTGCTTTTTCGTTGTAGATTGTAATGAAGCTTCTTCTTGTAATAAAATTTCCGGCGTTTGGGAGAGAAATTCGGTAGATGATTTGTACGCGCATTCGATCTTTTGTCGCGTCGTATGATTGTTTTTAGTATTATATCTCTGTTCCAACTGAGATTCCATTATTGATCTTACTTTGTTACTACTTTACTGTCTTTTTCTTGCCGGAATGGATCTTCGAGTTTGCAGGTTTTTTCGACAGCACATTAAGATTCCTTCCTCACTGTCATGCCTTTGTTTATTTTACGTTTTGTTTAGCATTACATTAACTGCATTAGGTTAATCATCCAACGAGTCGGGTTCTACCCGAACCCTTAAACGGGTCGGGTCGAAGTGAAAAAACACTAGTTTTGGTTCTTGAGCGTGTACAAGTTTTGGAATGTTATGCATTGGAATGAATCACTTTTAGGAGGTCAACTTCAATAATATATAGTCAACTCTACTTTCACAAGACTTGGGCAGCAATTTTCTGTCTTATTTGTCAACTCCTTGTTTAGTAGTACACTACTTGAATTGGAATAATTTGGAGTTTGTTCCATTTTACTTGTTATTTATTAGATATGAAATAAGTTTTAAGTTCGATATTTTCCAAAGATAATTTGTTTAGAAAAAAATATTTTTTTTTCTAGAAAAAAAAAAAACTACATGTATACTATTGATATTATGTATTTCTTATATCATTATGTATTTTATATTAGAAATTGCAGTATCGAAATGAAATTTTCGATACCTGTTTATTTCGATTCGAATGTAGATGAAAGTTCATTTATGATCTTCGAGTCTTTGATTTCTCATTAAAATTGCTTCCAAACATATTTAAATTTTCCGAAAATTTTAATTTCGATCCAATCTTTCTGATTTCTACCACTAATTAGCACATTTTAAAATATATATTATGTATATACGTTGTTAATTGCGTACATAATTATGTTTCAAAGTTAGGATAAATTACGGTCACCTTGAGGAAATGTCAAGTTACGAAAATATCCCTCATGTTTGGGTAATTACAATCGTCCCCTCAAGTATGAATCTTCTTACACGTCCATTTTTATGGTATCAAATATAGTGGAATGTTCTAGATTATGTAGAATATTCACCAATTTTTACCATATTCGAGCTCCACATTTTAAAAGAAGATGATCATAAGATGTGTCTCTTGGTTTGTGAATATCATATTGTGGTGCATCATAAATTGCATTTTTATACAAAACGAGTACAAATTAGAGAATATTCCACGGAATCTGGAAGATTCAGCTGAATTTGGTATCATAAGGGTAAATGTGCAAAAAAAATCATAATTGAAAAGTAGTTGTAAATATCCAAACACAAAAGATTTTTTTCATAATTTAACCTTGTTGACCATAATTTACCCTTAAAGTTAAAATGAAAACAATAAAAAATATTTATTTGAAATGGGCAAGGAAATTCATTTGCATACCATCCTCGGATGATATAACAATATCTCAGTGGGATTGACCATTTAATTTATTGGATTCTTTAAATATATACATATAAATCAGCACAAAATATTACAATATCTCTGTGGGATTGAGCATTTAATTAATTAGATTATTTAATTAAATATGATTATCTATGCCTATGTATATATATATATATATATATATCGTGTCATAAGTTGAACAAATTCACATTAATTTGTAATAAAACAGAAAAAAAAAAAAAACAATACTCAAGGTATGGAGAAGAAGATTTTATGTGGTGCTTTCCTTTGCATTCTTTTATTCACCTTTGCTGTGAATTCTGCTTCAGCCACTCAAGGTACTTAATTATTTATTCACACTTTCATTTATTTAATTTTTTATTTTATTTTGTAAATTTAATTTAATTTTAATTTAAATTTAAATTTGATATGTGCAGCATGTATTCTATCAGCACCAACGAGTAATTGTAACGAGGAGGAGTGCGCGAGTTTTTGCGATGAAGCGTTACATTTTTATTCTCCAACTTCGCATTGTAACCCACAAAATAATATCTGCAATTGTTATTATTCAGCCAACGAGTGTCTTAAGCCACCACCTTCACTCTCTAATTAATTACCTCTTATTACTTTTTCAAAATAAAATTTGTCTCAAATAATTATATTGAGAATTATATTAATCGATCTTTAATTCGATTCTTTTGTTGTATTTTGAAACATTCGAATTATTGCGCAGCGAACAATCCAATTTGAGAATATTCAATTTCAATTTCATGATTTACACCTCAATTTAGCCCAATTTCACCAATTAACCAATTTTGAACCGCCATCACTGCGTTGACTTTTTTTTTTTTCTTGAAAAAATATTTTAATTAATATTACTGTATTGGCTGCGAAATTACTGTCTCCAGCAGTTATTTAACTGTCGGAGACAGTAATATTATGAATATTATTTTCCGAACAAGAATATTACAAATATTACTCTCCCAAACAGTAATATTATTCCATGAGACAGTAATATTGCAGTCGAACGCAACAAATTTGCACGTTTATTTTTTTCGATGTGTATTGGCGGAAGAGATATCGTTTACAACTCTAAATTAATTACCTAAATAAAAAGTGGGGATGAAATAAAGTAAAAAAACAAAAAAAAAAATCAAAAACTCGGTGACCTCATCGAACCGTGACTCAAATGATTGTCAGGATACATAGCATGTCCGATTCTGACAACATTGCTTCTTATGATCAACTACTCCTACTATACATCGATTAAGTTAACATCATTATTATATATATGCTAATTTTATTACACACAAAACAAACAACAAGATGCAATTTGTGGTATACTAGTTAGCAAAATTATATTGCAACTACCATGCAGAGTGTGGAGTTTTATAGAGTCAAATAATCATAATTTTTTTTTATTTCATTAGTACTTTCTTGATTACTAATTAATTTACATCTTCTTGATTTTCTCAGTTGTTGCATTTACAGATATGTTACATTTATTAATACTAGTTATATGTACAAGTAATTAAAATACTAAAAATCAGAGCTAATTAGGAATTACTTATGTCGTGTACTATGAATTTTTTTACGCGTTTATTCTTGTGGTGTTAAATTTAGTCGAATCCTCTAGATTATGTGATATATTTTCCAGTTTTATACCCATTTTCTCTCATTCGTGTTCCACATTTTGAGAGAAGATGATCATAAGATTTGTCTCTTGGCTTGTAAATATCAGATTGTGGTGCATCAAAAACCGCATTCTGCATAAGGCGAGTACAAACTAGAGAACATTGCACGAAATCTAGAAGATTCTACTGAATTTAACACCATAAGGTTGTACGTGTAAAAAGATTCATGGTTGAGAGGTGGTTGTAACTATCCCCTGAGATAAAGGTTACGAAAAAACTTTACATGTTTGGGTAATTACAATCATTCCTTTCAACTATGAATCTTCTTACATCTCAACTCTTGTTGTGTTAAATTTGGTGGAATCTTTTAGAATATGTGAAATATTCTTCAATTTGTACCCATTTTACCCCCATTTGAACTCCACATTTTAAAAGATTGTAAATATCAGATTGTGGTTCATCGAAAACTAAATTTTGTACAAAATGAGTACACCATTAGAGAACAGTCCACATAATGTAGAAGATTCTGTTGAATTAGTGATGGACGTGTAAAAAATTCATAATTGAGAGGTGGTTATAATTATCCAAACATAATGGACTTTTTTTGTCATTTAACCTTACCCCAATGGATTGGCCATAATTTACCCTTCAAGTTAAAAAAAACAATAAAAAAAATTCTCATAATTTATTTGAAATGGGCAAGGAAATTCATTTGCATACCAACCTCGGATGATATGAGATTGACCATTTAATTTATTGGACAATAAGTGTAAATACGTATTTTCACGAAAATTTGCACCGAACCCCCTCAAATTATTTTATTGTGTAAACTTTACTTTTTTTATTTTATTTATTTCCTTTTTTTGCATGAAATCCATTTTTTCCTTAACAAATAACAACGCTATTTATAGGAAGTGTTTCGTTTCGTGCAGAAATAAAATTAAATTGGGACTTTATGCAAATTTTCTTACTAGGCGAAAAATCGGCGTTCACTTTTTTTCAGTGCAAGGTATTTGGTGCAAGACTTTATATTAAATTAAAGCTCGAAGTTTATTCTAATCAAAGTTCAGTCGCACGTTTAATTTGGTTGTGAAATACAAGCACATAACGGATTCGATGCCAACGAGTTTGCGCAAAGAAAAATAAACCGTCGTAATAATATTCGGTACATACCAATTTATAACTTAAAACTGCAAAATTTGTAATCATATTATTAAAATTAAATAGATGTGATGTTAATTAGATTTGAATTAATATTATAAAAAAATTGTCTAATCTAATATATTTATTTGTTAGATCAAACATACCCGATAGCCCCTTATTAATATAATTAATTATTAATGGGACACAATTCGTTATCTAGTACAATTCTTCTTAAGTGCAATAATATAGCTATATAAGTTTTTCAATATTCTATTAAAATTAAAAAAACATGCACCATTAAGGTAATAATATATATCCTAATTGGACTATTTCTCTTTATCGGATGTGTTGGAATATATATAGATTCCTTCAATATTTTGAATTTGTTTAGAGATATATAAATAGGAGGAGGAGTCCATCAAAAAAAAAAAAAAAAAGGAGGAGTAGAAGAACATCGTTCAATATAAAAAAAAGCTCGATAATCGGAGAGAAAAAAAAAATGTCGCAAAAATCTTCGGAACTTCCACCTGCAGGATGGACGCAGCGTCGTTTGACGGATTCGGACGAGGATCGTGAACTGGCGTTTATCCTTAATGCCACGTATCAAGAGTTGTACGATTATTTTAGTACTAATCGGTAAAATATCTTCGGCTCTTCTTTCCTTTAATTTGCACCGTTTTACTTTTCGTTGGTTTATAATTATTCGTGTTGGTTATTGGATATCTTAATTTCTTACTGGATTTTGTCGATTGAGTTTCGGTGTCTACTCCAATTTGGTATTTATTTGTTGCGATTTGAATTGGATGAATTTCTAGGGTTTTAAATCACGAATTCGGGTTGGTATTTGGTTGCTTTTAAATCACGAATTCGGGCGGGTTTGATTATTTTTGTTAAATTTTTGTTAAATTTTGAAATAATTCAGGTGGTCGGTATTTTTATTACTAGATGATGAGCCATGATTTTTAAATTTCTGATGACTGAATGCATTAAAAATAATAAAAGATTACAATATTAATATTATTGTATCAATCCTCATTAGAAGAGTCGGTACATAACCTTTACTAATAGGGTAAAGGTCTAGGGTTCGAGTACCCCTCCCCCTCCCCTACTTCCCTGGTAATGGACTTCAATTTACTCAAAAAAAATAAAAATTATTCAATAAAAAAATTCCAATTTTGTAACAAAATTTTCCATTCCAATTTTTAAAAGTCTGTTTTTTTTTTTCTTCTTTTAATTGAAATTGTTTTGGAACAGAATAATAATTGTTTTTCTCTTCTGAAAAAAGAAATGATTTTCCCCTTAAATTAAACTGCTAATTCTCAATCGATTGGTTCGATTACCACTCCTAGTCATATAATACATACACTGATCACTCAGATTAGCACATACAAATTTATGATAATATCTAAATCAATCCTTCATGTCCCGATGTAGAAAAATAAACATTATATTATATTTATTTTCTTTTCCTTTTATTTATTTTCACCAGAAAGACATAAAAATGTATAATTAAAAAATATATATATATATATATATATATTGGTTGGTAGAAAATAAATTAAATAAAATTAGGGGGGAATTAGTGAATTAATTAGCATAACTGAATAAACTGACTAACATGCAGTTGTCTGTTGAGTGCATGTAGACGAACAGCTTTGCAATTTTCAGTTTCATTTTTTCAGTATAAAATCCAATGCTCCACACCGATTGGAAACCGTATATTTTTCTTTTCCCACTTTTAGTCAAATAAGAACACGCACAAAACACACAGTAGAGAGAGAGAGAGAGAGAGAGAGAGAGAGAGAGAGAGAGAGAGAGAGAGAGAGAGAAGAAAATGGTGTGTAGGCGTAGGCGTAGGCGTAGACGTAGGCGTAGCTTGGAAGAAGTAATTAGAACATTAATCTTGAGAATTAGTAATGGGTTGTTCAACATGGCTCGTCAATTAGGGTTTACCATCTTCTCCACTGCTCGTCGGTAAAAATGAAATTCTGCTATTTAATTTCCTTCTTTTTTGTTTATTTTTTTTTTATTTTCGATGTTTCTTGTGGATTATAATTCGTGTTGTTGTTGGATATTATCTTTCTTGCTGCTGGGGTTTTGTAGATAGATTGAGTTTCGATTTTTTACTCGTTTAATGGGTTTTCGTTTAATTGTGAATTAAATTAATTGGATTTCTTGGGGTTTGAAATCATCATGAATTTATTTAATTTTTGGTTGGTGGAATAAAAATATGTATATTGAACAGGAGGAGGAATGCATTTACAAGAGTTGATAATTTCTTGGAGTACTTGAGAAGAAATAGCGCTGTCGTCCCTGCAGTTGAAGAAAACACGGTTCCTACAGTTGAAGTTGAGAACAATGTTCCTACAGTAGTTGAAGTTGAGAACAATGTTCCTGCAGTTGAAGTTGAGAACAATGTTCCTACAGTGAAAGCTGGGAAGAAGAAGATTCCTCAAGTGAAAGGGAAGAAGAAGATTCCTAAGGTGGAAGTTAAGAAGATTAATCCTACAGTGCAAGAGAAGAAGAATGTTCCTACAGTTGAAGTTGAGAAAAAGATTCCTACAGTTGAAGTTGAGAAGAAGATTCCTACAGTTGAAGATCAGAAGAAGATTCCTACAGTTGAAGTTGAGAAGAAGATTCCTACAGTTGATGCTGAGAAGAAAGTTCCTACAGTTGAAGTTAAGAAGAAGATTCCTACAGTTGATGTTGAGAAGAAGATTCCTACAGTTGAAGTTACAATTGAAGATCAGAAGATTGAAGAGAATAATATTCCTACAGTACAGCTGGAAGAGGAGAATAAGGAGGTTTCTGCAGCAGCGGAAGAAACGAAGAAGGGTCCTCCTGCATTATTGGAAGAGAAGAAGGTTCTCTCTCTCTCTCTCTCTCTCTCTCTCTCTCTCTCTCTCTCTCTCTCTCTCTCTCTCTCTCTCTCTCTCGTAATCAACATAGAACTTGTATAAGGCCGGCCGGCCAATTTAATTCGATGTATTGGCAGAAGAGATAACGTTTACAACTCTAAATTAATTACCTTAATCGCGCATGCAGGAGGTCGTCAATCATCAGGAGGCGGCGGTGGATGCTCTCAAAAAGGAATTTAAAATGGTCTTTCTTAACCAGCTGTACGAACGATTCCCTTGTATATATATATATATATATATATATATATATATATATATAATATTTTTACGGCAAAAAATATTATATCGCTACTTACTTAATCCTCGTATACAACATTGGCTGTTATGTGTGATTGTAGGCAAATCGCAGGTTTAGACTTCAATAGCTTAGGTCTCGACATCGATGAATTGTTTGGGGTCGAATTGCAAACAATGGTTCTTCAGATAAGGTACGCACGCACGCACGCACGCAATATATATAATTAATGTTTTCCTTCAACTTATAATTCGCAATTTTAATGTTTGCTACACGTATGTTTGTAGGCAAAACGGACGACGAACGGAATTCAATGATAAGCCGGAGGATCAAGATTCGGACGGCACGATATAAAATTTTCGGCCTTGAGGATAAAAAACAAAATCAAAATCAAATATTGCTCCAAGTTGCGCATATGTTGTATTAGGAGGCAATAGATATACAACGAAGTTACTGAGTGTATTGTTAGTTTGTTTAGACATATTCTTTTATTCAACTATTTTTTCCCTTTTATTTTTCTCTAGCTACACAGAAACATCTTTACTTCATAAAGCGTGTTTTGCTTTAGCATATATTGTATTTTCATTATCTCAATTTACTCTCATGTATGCATGCTTAAAAACGAATTAAAATTTGCTTAAATAATATTTTAACCAAATGAATTCAAAATATGAAATTGATGAATTAACAATTAATATTACAAATAAAAAATTATATATTATTTTGAATATTTATTTATTAGATCAAACATACCCCCTGTTGATTTAATTAGTTATTAATGGGACACATTTCTTTAACTAATACAATTTAATTAGTTATAAATCTCATACTTCACAAAATTTTAGAAGTAATACATACTCCTTCAGTTTTCTTTTGAAGTGCACTTTAGTAGCTACGGCATTAACTTCGATAAATTAATAACCTCGTTTAAATAATATTTATTTCTTCCCAATCCCACTCAGCTAAAAATTATGTAGCTTCATTAATAGAATTTAACTGTAATTTATTAGCAATTTACACCCATGAAAATTGATAAATCATTCACTATATTTACACAAGCATAATCTATTTACAAATATGTTACATTTTTATACTACTTATGTACAACAAAACTACTAAATCAGAACCTAAGATTGTCTAGCAACTTATTCCTCGCAGCTAAAATTTCCGAAAACAAATGATTCGTTTGCTTTTCGATGCTCTGGATTAAATTTTCCAGCTCGTCTAATCGAATCTTGAGTACCTCCACCGAAAATTCTTCGATTGCGTTGTTTATCTCTTTCACCTCTTCCATAACTATTAAATTTCCCTGGATTTCTTGGCAGAATTTCAAATCCAGGTCTTTTATCAGGGAATCATCAAATCCTCCGGCGAGTTCCCTGATTTCCATGTACGTTTTTGCATCGCCGCAGAAACCCGATAGAACAGAACCCAACGCCATAAGCACGATTTTCTTGCACAAAACCAGGGCCTGTAAAACAACACTTTCTTGATCATTCTCAAAACCAGGCCTTTCTTGAAACCTGATTGATGATGATGATGATGATGATGATAACCCTTCAGATTTGAACTTCTTGCATGAGTAGGGATTTTCGCCGGCGATCTTCTTCAGGCGGCTAGCGGCGGCGGAGGAAGGCGGTGATGAGTTCTGGATCAGGCTCACGGCGTGTGAAATGGAAATCTTGGCCTGGTTGAGATGAGAAACGGAGGAGCTGACGGCGTTTAGAATGTCCAGGGAGATTAACGTGTGGCTGAGGTAACTCTCCGTTAGTTTGCCGCTCCACCGGCTCATGGGGTGGTCGATTTCCACCACCAGCTTCGCGAAAGCCCTGTTGGTGGTCTGAATCAGCTCGAAACATTTGTCGAACCCGGTCCGGGAGAGAAAGTACTTCTCGGGTTTCGACCATGTTTGGGTGATGAAACCGGAGATTCTTGACCGGAAATTGTGCAGAGAAGCTGACAGGTTGCCGGAGCTCCGGTGGTTGGAGGAGGGGAATTTGAGGGGAAGGGCTAGTTTGTGTAGTAAGAGTACCATGGGTTTAGAAAAGTACAACAGAAGTTTTTGGGTCCAAAGTTATGTTTATCTAATTTGGTGTGTGTGTGTGTGTGTGTGTTTTGGTGTGTGTATTGTATCTATATATATATATATAGGTAAGGAGTAGATGGTTTTTGTCTGAAAACAAGTGGTGGTACCAAGTTTCTTGTACTGGTTTATTGACGTGTTGACGTGTTGTTTTGTTTAATGTTGGTTTGCTGGTCAAAGTCAAACAGTCTTATCCGGTGCACACGCGCTGGGCCGCGATTGGGTCTATTTGGTGCTTCTTCTCCACGCTAATCATCATCACCCGATAATTATGATTTATTATTCTCTCTTTTTGGAAGATTTAAAAATATAAAGAAAGTAAACAATACAAATCAAGAACCCGGTTGAACGAGTTGAACCCAACGTGACTCAAATGAAGTTTAATTCCAATTTTGCACCATTGAAATGAAGATTTTTGACACTTTGCACCATTGAAAAATAATAATAGCACTTGGCAACATTAAAATACAATAAATTATTCACAATTCATCATAAATTGAATGAAAATGATAATTCATTTTTTATTGGTCTTTTTTTTTTCTGCGATGAAAAATAATAAATTAAATTGTTATTTTCTTCAACCTCCAACCTAATTTCTAGTACACAAATGTCGAAATGATAAAAATTACACTCGATAACTGAAAATAATAAATAAAATCAAATAAACTTTTTATCATTAAATTATTCGATAAATCAAATATTTTAACGTAAAATTTATGTAATTCGGTTATTTACCGAACCAAATCGTATATTTAGTTCGGTAAATGGTATGAAATGTTGACGTACCGAAATTTTGTTGCGGTTTTACCAAATTAATATCCCTAAATTTACCTCTGGAGGGGTCTTTTCGTAAGATAAATACATAGTTGAGGAGGTGGCTGTAACTACCCAAACAGGGGGGGGGGGGGGGGGGGGTTCGTAATTTGACCATAGCTCAGAGGGTGACCGTAATTTGCCCTAAATGTCATCTACATCTATTCTCAATCAAAAATGTATATATATTTTTCATGATCTTATGTTAATATTTAAAGAACTAATTCAATTATATATGTATTTCTAGTATTTATTAATTTATTTATAGTTTATTCAATTAATTGTAAGAATATAATATTTCATTACATTAAAAAAAATTCGTTAAAGTTAACTAAGTTATACAACGAAGGACTATATTGAAGTAGAGTTGAAGGATGATAATGAGATAATTAGAACATGAGAACCTAACGTAGGACTAAATACTAAGACGAGGAATTATTAGTGATTTACTAGTTAGCAAAATTATATTGCAACTACCATGCAGAGTGTTGAGTACTATAGAGTCAAATAAATCATAAACATTTTATTTCATTAGTACTTTCTTTATTACTAATTAATTTACATCTTCTTGATTTTCTCAGCTGTTGCATTTACAGATATGTTACATTTATTAATACTAGTTAAATGTACAAGTAACTAATTAAAGGGGTTATATGAGATAACCCATCATACAATTTCATTAGAGGTTTAAATCCATTTTTATATTCACTATTAGGAACAATCCCTTACTTAGCATAATACCCATTTATCCCTATTATATTCATAAAAAATATTAAAAATTAATGTCAATTAGATTAATATATGCAAACACCCACATTCAGTTTTTTTTCTTTCGATTTCCTTTAAATAAAAATTGATTTTTTTTTATTTCTACTTAAAAAAAATAGTTATTTATTTATTATTTTTAGTTTTTTCAATTATTTTTATTTGTTTATTATTTTTAATATTCGTTTTTTTTAATATTAATTTTTTTTCGATTTATTCTTTTAATTAATATTTTTTATTGATTTTTTTCACTTTACCAAATTGAAATTCACTATACTTATCGAATTTCACTATAAATATTTCAAAATTTAATGAAATACTATAAAATTAACACAATCCACTATTTTACTGCCTGAATTTGAAATCCACTATTCACTTTATAAATTTGAAATCCACTATTCACTGTTTGAAATTCACTATTTATTGTCTGAATTTTAAAACTATTTATTGTCTGAATTTGAAAGCCACTATTCACTGTTCGAAATCCACTATTTAATGTCGGATGAGAATTCAAAAACCACTATTTACTGTAAGCGCATTGACACCCCTCCTCTATTGCTCGCGCCTGCATAGTATATTTTGTTTGAAATCCACTACAAAATTCATCAAAAACACTACAAAAATATATAAATTCATTATAAAAGAATCACTTTACAAAGAGAAAATCCACTAAAAACTTGCCTAAATCCACTACAAAAGTCCCTCTAATAAACAATGTCATCGCATACAATAGTAGATTCACCCGGGCATCACCCAACCTCGTCCCACTTGTTGCCATCACTCCTTGTGCAAGAACTTGAACCAAAGGAAAAGAAGACAAATAACGTGTAAATTTAATTCATTCAAAACAAAATCGATCTACAAAGCAAGAATTTTAAATCTACTACAATCTCATCCAAGCCCACTACAAAAAATATCGAAATCCACCAAAATATTAACATAATCCACTGCGAAATTACCCTAATCCACTACAAAATAATTGCAAAAATATTAATGTAATTCACTACGAAATTAAACTAATTCACTACGACAAATCCCCTTTTCAAAGACAAAATTGAGTTCAATTATATCGAAATTCACTAAAATAGTAGCGTAAACCACTACGGAATTAACATAATCCACTACAACAAATCACCTTTTCAGAGAGAAAATCCAATTCAAAACAAGAATTACAATCTAATTACAATCAAATTATTATTTTTAGTTGAAAACCATGATTATTCATAGTTGAAGTCAATATCTCCAATTTCCAAGTACTATTTATCTTCATCAAATAATAAACAAAACTTAGATTTTCAGGCCTATATGTGTCTCATTCATAATTACATTTAAATTCATAACAATTTCACGAATCGTGAAATTTCAGCCAATTAAAACACCATAAAATTGAGTAATATCAAATATGAACCAAATTTAACGCATGTGTATGTTTGTCTAATGAATTTAAGAATCATAATTAAATATGTGAGGGGTTTTCCCCTAATTAAACCACTAAAAATCAGAGGTAATTAGGAATTAATTATGTCCTGTACTTAGCCTAAGATTGTCTAGCAACTTATTTCTGGCAGCTAAAATTTCCGAAAACAGATGATTCGTTTGCTTTTCGACGCTCTCGATTAAATTTTCCATCTCGTTTAATCGAATCTTCAATTCCTCCACCGAAAATTCTTCGATAGCCCTGTTTACTTGTCTCACCTCTTCCATAACTATTGTATTTCCCTGGATTTCTTGGCAGAATGTCAAATCCAGGTCTTTTATCAGGGAATCATCGTATCCTCCGGCGAGTTTCCTGATTTCCATGTACGTTTTCGCATCGCCGCAAAAACCCGATAAGACGAAACCGAGCGCCATAAACCCGATTTTCTCGGACAAAACCAGGGCCTGAAAAACGGCACTTTCTTGCTTGTCGGAACCAGGCCTTGATTGAAACCTGATTGATGATGATGATGATGTCGATTTGGGTTTGAAGTTCTTGCATTGGTTTTCTCCGGCGATCTTCTTCAGGTGGTTAGCGGACGAACTCACGGCGTGGGAAACGGAAATCCTGGCCTGGTTGAGATGGGAAACGGAAGAGCTGACGGCGTTTAGAATGTCCAGGGAGATTAACGTGTGGCTGAGGTAACGCTCCGTCAGTTTGCCGCTCCACCGGCTCATGGGGTGGTCGATTTCCACCACCAGCTTCGCGAAAGCCCTGTTGGTGATCTGAACCAGCTCGAAACATTTATCGAACCCGGTCCGGGAGAGAAACTTCTCCGGTCGTCCTGACTCGGGTTTCGTCCATGTTTGGGTGATGAAACCGGAGATTTTCGATCGGAAATCGCGTAACGGGTCGCCGGAGCTCCGGTGGCGATTCTCCAGCCTGGAAGGGAATTTGAAGGGACGAGCTAGTTTTTGTACTAAGAGTACCATTGGTTTTCTTTAGTATAAGATGTTTTTTTTGTGTGTATTTTGGTGTGTGTTGTTTATATATATATATATATATATATGTTAGAGTATATTATAATATTAGATATTATAGGATATTATGATTCGGTTACCTAGATTAGTTATGATTTAGTTACCTAGTGAAACTTATCTCGTATTATTTCTTTATATATATTTCATGTAAATCAACCCATAATTCAATGGGGATTTTCTAATATGAGGTATTATTATTTCTCTCTTTCTCCTATTCTATTCTTTCTACAATATATATATATATGGAATAATAACAAGTGGTGTTATTATATAATATATATGTTTATTTAATATAAAATGGGGGCATAAAACCAGGGAATAAATAGAAAAAGGTGGGTTGAGTGGTCAAATTGTAGTAGTGTTTATCAATTTGCACACGGATTCGGCCACAACTGGGTCCACTTGTTGGTGGTGTCTGCTTCTTTTGCACGCTAAATTTTATCATCGTTCAAACAAATCCCACTTCTAATCATATAATACACGTCAACTTTATTATATATTTCAATTTTATTCTTCAATTTAATTCTCATGACCTCAGTCGCAAGTAATTAAACGTGGTTTTGAAAATTGAATTCTTTTTTTTTTTTTTTAATCAAGCATTTCAATTTCACTAATTCTATGTGGACTTCCAACCTAATTTTGACCGTTTTCTAATTTAATTTTGGCAGAATTCAAACATTGGAATGTGGAACTGTAACATTTTAGATAACTTTTCTTTTTCTTTTTATCGAAAAAACTTTTTATTATTAGACGATATCTGCTAAAGCAGGTGGGAGATTAAAATTCTCTATAATGTCGTTACAATGAATCTTAGCAAGATTATGAGCTAAATAATTACCCGAACGTTTGATAAATTGAAAAGAGCATGAGTAAAAAAAATTCGCACAAGAGATACATTCCTCCACAAACAACACCCAGTGCTGTCCGAGCAACAACTGAATGCCGTTGAAAAAAAATTCTCGTCCACTGGAATACTTGCGTCGAAGTTGAGTTTCACCGCACCAGTTGGAGGTGGCTTCCACACACTCGGGTGGTCGTCTTGCAGTCCGACTCTGGGGCATTATTGAAAATACCAATGTAGTTGTGACACCAACTTAGTATCTCGGATGGTCGAAGTGCATGCTCGGCCTTGACATTCTTGTTTCGGTTTTCCGCAATCGTTCCAGAGTACGCTGTTCCACCGACAATAACTGCTTCAGGGCTTCGAACCAATCCCACATAGATATATATTCTTGGTCAAAGTTGCAGGCAGTGTTCATTGATTCATGTACATCATTCTCACCTGACTTTCAATCTTCGTGATTCAAGTTGAATTACGAAACTAACTACAAATTCCATACTTTAAGTTTTGCCAAATTCATTTGCCCTCTTAAATGGTCAAAACCACGTTTGAAATCGAAACAGTATTATTAAAAGTAAAACGACATTTACCAAATCCCTTTGAGGATGAGTTGCTCATCGAATAAAGGTAAATTATCTAATCATTCCCAAATTATTACCAAAAGGGATCACCCTTTTCTCAGGATTGCGAATAACCAGACAACTATGATGCCGATGAACGTTAGATTCTGGCAATTCGATGTTATTTAGGATTTGAGAAACATATTTTTTCTTGTTTATTGTAATTTTTGAAGTCATAATAACTTTCTGCACTTTAATCCCGTAATTAAATTGCTCTTTGAATTTCAAATTCTATTAGGCTTTAAGTTTTTTGTGTTCCTTAACTTTCACCAAACAATATGACATTGAGCTCATGAAAATTGATTACTTTAACGAAATATGATATATAGTAAGTTTATGATAACAGTAAATTTTTTAAAATTGGTAACGAATCTCTGAAAATTATGTAATTTATAAATAGGATAGTGAACTTTCAAAAAAATGGCTTAAGAATTTATGAAATTTGGGTGAGCATTGATAGTAAACTTCTTAAATTTGAATAGTTTAACAAAATATAGCAGTGAACTTTTAAAAATTCCAACGGGTTTCTGATATGATCTATAAAAGTGTAAATATTAGAAAGGATTTTTCTATTTTTTGCAGGTACTAAAGTGCCCCTACGAATAGATTTTTAATAGGTAAGATCATTTGTAGGGTAACTAAGTAATATTAATTTATAAATAATATTTTTTTATTGTATAGTTTATTTAAGTAGAATAATTAATTTTTTTTGAGTCATTGAATACTGATGGACAAAAGTAATATATAATTGTTGCTGCTTTTGGACATACACAGAGACTGAGTGATGATAAGAAGGTAACTACTAAAGCTAATAATTTTCAAGAAAATGTTGCATTCGATCGGAAGGATCGAGTAATGAACTATATAGCACAAAAATTTCAACTTTTTAACGTTTTTGCGTGTCAAAAACTCAAGACACCTGCCGAACATCTTATGAGCCGTTTTGCAATTTGTAAACAGTTAGAAACATGTTTGAATAGCAAAATTTTAATACGTTTTTATTGTTTCCCTATTTAGTAAGTGATTTAATAATCAACAACAAATGTATAGTTGATACTAAAATTTAGAGTGAATTGCATTTACTATATACTCTTGTGTAAATCGTATCTGTGCGATTTCCCTTGTTATAAAAAAGTTAGCAAAAACCCTCTGTACTAATTAGTCAAAGGCGAAAAACCCCCTTCGGAGCATATCGTGTGTCGCACTCGCGGATTGTTTGATTTTTTTCTTCACTTTTGCATGGAAGTGACACAATTACCCCCAAAAGCATACACTATCTCTCCCCTCTCCTCTCTTCTACGTCTTCTTCGACTTCTTGTCCTTTTTTCTTTGGAATAAATCTTCTAACCATGTTCATTAATGGAAGATTTCCAAACATAAATGGGCAAAGCTTCGCATCAGCAAAAGAATCATTGGTTTCAATTTTCTTCACCAAAAAGAAATTAGTGTTTATGCAGTTTTATAGCAATGGCGGTGAATATGCTTCCTGTTGAGAAAGAATGGCGACATACATAGATGGGGTATGCTGTTGGTGGTGGGCTGTTGAGAAAGAATGGCGGCGGAGATGGTGGGTGGTGGGCTGCTGAGAAAAGATGGCAGCGTAGATGGTTGGGCGGTGGGTGGTGGGTTGCTGAGCAAATATGGCGGCGGAGATGAGTTGCGTGGTGGTGGTGGAGGCTGGTCCTGTGAAGAAGATGAATTTTGTTTTTCTTTAATTAGGTTTTAAAAATTACAATTTAACCTCTTTAAGTTTTCATAAATTCAATTTGGTCCCCAAGTTTAAAAAATTAATCATTGAAGGACTGAGTCTTTTGTTTTTGCAAAACCCTCTTTTCAGAGCTAGTCAGTGGGCAAAAGATAAATGGGTCAAATGTGCAACCTAAAAATTAACATGGGGTTTTGCTAATTTTATTATGATAGGGGGACGCCTAAGCGATTTAAACAGGGGTAGCAAATGCAATTCACTCCTAAAATTTATTTTGAATATGTTTGTATAAAAAATATAAAAATAATTTATATATAAATAAAAACTGATATATGTTCATACTTTTAATATTTACATGTCTCCCCTAAGTTCTCGTATACTCATTTTCGGAACATGTCGTTTCCCCGTATTCGGTTTTTTCCGTTCCTTGTATCACCGTATCCACGTCCTTCCTACATAGGCAATGAACAATGAAAGGATATCATTTGTTGCGTATA